CCCCTCGTCTGCTGTGGATGTTACTTTATTTTTTTTGGTGCTGTGGCGCTTCGTCGCGCGTGTACGATGTGTTTGTAGGAGTAATAGTAGTAGTGTAGAAGACGTTTGTGTTAAAGTGACTTGTCACTCAACGCCGACTTGCCGTTGGCTGGTTGGTTGGTTCTGGGATGCGATTCTTCATCGGTCTGAAGCTGGGACGAGGAAAAGGGGGAAGAAGACGCCGTTCATCGAGCGTCGAGTTATGATGATGGACCAGTCGGGAAAATGTCTTGTCGGATGTGTGTTCGTTTTTCTTCCTTTTTTTGTCTTTTTTTTCGTGTCCGTCCGCCCCTTGTTTCACTCACTCGCCTCAGATACATATACATGCATGGAGGGTAAGTTGTTACGGTGAAGCGTGCACTTTTCTTCCAAGGGTGCTCGTATCGCCCAGCGCAATCCTCCCCCCCCCCGCCCCCCCGCCCCCCCACCCGGTTGTGTTACTTGGTACTTGCGTAGCAGCTCTTCCTCTGCGGCCATTTGTCGGAACGCGGAAAACGATGCGATGTTGGGGTGGATTTTTTTTTTTTTTGCTTTCCGACAGGGTGAGCGAGACAGAGAAGGGACAAGAGAGACACTTGCTTCCGTTCTCGCTTGTCGGGGGTGTGCGTGGAAAGTTGTGTGTGTGTTCAGTTTCTTTGAGTGCCCCTTTTTACTGTATGGCCCGCTATAGGCCGGCAAAACGGACGCGGCCGGCTCTTGTACCGAAAGGGGTGTTTATCAGGCTTAGGAGACAAAAAAAAATGTTGAAAGTAGGCATTCTTCTCGAGAAACCAGTAAAAACATGTATGATGCCATTCTCGTCTTGCCAAGTTAGTTGCTAACTTTTTCTTTTTGCTGCGAAACATTCACGGACAGCTTTGATGCCGCCCTTTTTTGCGCAGGACTCATCCTCATTTTTGGTGTGCGTTTTTTCGTGCGGGGTGTCTATCGTGTTTCGTATGCGCCCCCCCCTCCAGCATTTCTTTCCCGAACCTTCTTGCCGTTGAAATGTAATATTCTAGTAGCTTGATGGAGGGTTGGGTTCGCGCGCGTGCACGCTTCGGTGGATGGATCGATCAGCGACGGTTTGGTTGTTGCATGACCGACTTGAGTCGAGTGAACAGGTTCGACTTCCTTGCTGGCTTTTCCGCTACGGTACTCGCCAAGTCTCCGGCCGCTCTGTGTCGTTTGTGTATTTTTGCTACGGACATCCACCGCGCTAACCGGCTGACCAATGAAAAAAAAAAACGTCATGTAACGTGTGTGTTTGATTCGCGTTCGACCCCGCTACATAGCTGGCTGACGATTCGAGGGAAGACAAAAAACACGTGTCGCAAAAACACGCTGAGTACCAAGTTGGGGCGCTTCCCCCCTCGGAGGGGATTGGACGACGGTAGGGTCTGTAGTCTCCGCACGGGGTAGATGGAGTGCTTGCGACAGATGGGAGAAGCACCACTTACCACTTACCGCTATAATACCTTGCGCGGATCGCTCTGCCTTCCTTGTCACCCTCGGTTGATATGAGTGTTGTTCCATGTGCATGCCATCTGCGTGAGTGAGTTAGACAGCGACGTGATCGCACGACACCAGGAGTTGAACAGGTTGAAGGCTGTGCAAGGACACAAACAAAGGGGTTGTTTGGCCTTTGCGTGCGGATGAATCCTCCCCTCTCATCCGCGCTAGGAAGAGGAAGCAGTGCGTGCACTGCCATATCCACTGGAGGTCTTCCGCCTTCTTTGCCCAAGCGTGAGATACTGTCTGGCAGCGCGGGGGAGGCACCCAGCCAGCACTCGTTGAACATGTACGCACAGCAAGCACCCACCTCATCCTGAGATGGAGTGTGACACGGGCGTGTCGGGCGCGTCTAAAACGTTCAGACACAGCTAGTCTAAAAGTGAGCGTAGTGAAATATATTTACATGAGGTCGTCCCGTGTCCGCGCACACCGAGGGTAGACCCCGTTGTACCCCCCCCCACACCGATCTGTGCGCCGAAACTCAACGCCACTACCAAGGGCCGGCCGCCCCTCGCGACGTAGTTACAAACACACCAATGAGGCCTGCCGGCCGGACTAGCCACACACCACGCAACAAACGTTCCTGCACCTGCATGCAAGCCCGTTGCTCGACACCTAGTCCAACCAAAACGTTGTTCTCCAAATTCAATAGCCAAGCACGTTTTGGAGGACGGATGGGGGGGGGTATCAAGTGCGACACGCATAACGAGTGTAGCCGGGCGTACTGGTCGTGCGGTGCTGCGAACGACATCCTCAGCCTCTCTCTCTCAGAGATGTCTACACGGCCGAGAAGCCAAACACACACATATCCCACACTCTGTTGGGGGGGGGATACACCCCACCGACCAGAATAACGAGATTCTGCATTTCTGCCTTAGCCTTAGCCTTAGCCTTGCCTCCCCGACGATGCCAGTCACCATGACACGGAATGTTTTAATCAAGTTCCTACGATGTGACTGTCTTCGACGGAGAGGGTTTCGCTCCCCTTGTGAAGCTCACCAGCAGGAAAGCCGTTCTTCACGGCGGTGGTCATGTGTTGAGCATCCGTTGCCTATACGAGTCCAACCTACTGGGGGTCAAAAACGCAAAAAAAAAAAAAAGAGAAAGTTTTTCACAAGAGACTTCGCCGTCGGATCTTGAGGTAAAGGACGAAAACGATCGCCGCGCTCAGCAGGGCGATGACAGCGTAGAGGCACAGCCGGTGTCTCAGCTCCCGACGGGAGATCGACCCCAGCAGACGCCGCGCCTGCCCCGCGGCCGCCCCGGTGTCTCGCACGCTCGCCCGGGAGCGCAGGAGGGACTCCCGCTGCGACTCCAGGTCGCCCATGACGCCGCGCCCGATGCCCTCGGTCTCCTCCAGCACTCTTCGAGAGTCTTGAAGACTCAATCGACTCCTGCGTTTTTTTTTTTTCGTTTTGTTGCGGGAGAAAGGCGGGTACGAATTGTTGGGGGTTCCCGATGTTAAAAAAGCATGCATACAAAACAATACCTTTTCCATTCTTTTGCACGAGGACGACGTGTACAAGTGCTTGGTGGTCGCTACTCAAAAAACGGTTTTCTTCTCGCGGGAGACCGTGTGGTGTGTGAACACTGACCATCGATCCCTTTCGACACGAAGCAACGTCTCCGGCCGATAACGCAAACACCGGGGGGGGGGGGGGGGGG